GGCCCAAACTCCAATCTAGTGGGTTCCTTTTGCAGTGGCTGCATCTGGACATCTGTTGAGAGCTGTGCTGCTACCTTGTTGACCCTAAATGACACCATGTTACATATGCAAGTCCACACTGACATCATGACATCATGTCCTGCTCTTGTGGTCCATGCTTCAGCCAGGGGAAGCCCCAAGGAAATGGTGCTAAAAGGACACTTTGTCTGACTGCTGCATGTATCATTGTTGAAACTGATGCTTCCATGGAATTAAAATTCTTCTTTCTAGACCAGGCACTGTGCACATAATAATTTATTGGTTCTATCCATTCTAGGTAAGTATGAAGCCCCAAGGATCTAATGTCACCACTTAAAGACAGCCCACATCCAAGGGATGACTGTGGCAGTTTTGAGGGTGTGGAAACCTGGGTGTGGAACCAGAGGCCTGAATAAAATCACACTAAAACTGAATGTCCTTGGAAGGCTGAGGCAGGAGGATTGCAAGTTCAAAGCCAGCCTCAGCAAAAGTGAGGTGCTAAGCAACTCAGTGAGACCCTGTCTCTAAATGAAATACAAAATAGGGCTGGGGATGGGGCTCAGTGGTCGAGTGCCACTGAGCTCAATTCTTTATACCCACTCTCCCCCCACAACCCCTTCCAAAACAAAAAACAAAACTGAATGTCAGACTGGCCGTGGACAATATGTGGATGTGGAAAATGCAAACAATTTTGCAAATAACTCTGTTCCTGGAACCACAGCAAATTTAAACAAAGCCAAAAAAGTACAATTGTGGGAAGATATGGAGGGAATCCAGCTTCTTTAAGGACCATTTGTGGGAAACTTTCTGCATTAATTAATGATTACATGGTTTTCCCAGAAATATATATATTTTTAATACCAGGTATTGAACTCAGGGGCACTCTACCACTGAGCCACATCCCAGCCCTATTTTGTATTTTATTTTTAGAGATAGTGTCTCACTGGAGTTGCTTAGTGTCTTGCCATTGCTGAGGCTGGCTTTGAACTTGTGATCCTCCTTCCTTACCCTCCTAAGCTGCTGGGAATACAGGTGTGCACTACCACATCTAGCTTTCCAGAAATCTTAATGAGATCATAGTAGGGAAGAAATTTCTTAATTTTGGGCTCAACATTCTCACGTATATAAATAAAAGAGAATTTTCAAGGTTTAAACACAGGCTTAATCATTTCACAGTATGTTCATATATAAAAGCATTGAGTTGTGTACAGTAAATTTCTACAATTTCACTTGTCAAGTGTGATATTCAAGCTGGGGAAAGATAAATTATGAAGCATTTTATTAAAAACAAAAATATTTTATTGAAAATAAAAGGAAGGAAGAGATACACGATTTCTTGTGACTAAACATAATTACTCTTTGGGAAGAAGATGATTACTTCTAATTTGTAGTGCAATGCTGTCAGAGACTTCTTTCTTGTTTGCTTCTAAGTATTAAGACATATCAAATTCTTACTTGATTAGAACCCACAACAAAGAACTGATTAAGACCATATATTTTACACACACACACACACACACACAATATATATATATATATCTGTCCTCTTTGTATGCGAGAGAGAAAAAAAAATGGGCTTTTAACTTTCTTAATGTAATTAATAAATAAACAAATTTACTTGATTATTCAGCTCATCTCAACTGGTCAAATTGATTCTGTTTAAAGTTGCAGGTATCCCATTTAGACCCCTAAAAAGTCATCTTTGTTTATGTGTTGGGAATGATGAATCAAAATCAAGAAGCACCTTCTGCTGTGATCTCATTAAGATTCTAGGAGCACCGAGAGCATCCTTGAACCTGAAGTCACCCAGGGAACTGACTTCTCCCTGTGCCACCCTCCCATAAACATACCTTTCCCTCTACCACTTCTTGTCTGTTTTCCAGGAATAGATTGATTTGCAAAATCGTTTCAATTTTCACACACCTATCTTATCAGTAACCAATCTCAGGTTTACTTTTCATGTAGTTTCAGGGTCTGGTCTAATCAAAACTGAAGAGTGAACTAATTAAGTCTTTGCAGGATAAAGTGCAAAATTTAGTCAAATTCAGATAGTTTTGCAAAGTTTTTTTTAACATAAATTATCATGCAAGTATTAAATGAATGTATTTTGTGTTTCTTATGTGAAACCAGAAAACTAATGAGCAGGGTGAATAACTGAGAAATAGGTAAATCCATGCTCTTGGGATTTTTCATTAGAAGTAGCTAAACATTTAATTCTATTGAATTTAAAATGAAACATGGGAATCTATAATTATGGGCTGTCTTAAAATGTGATCTTTCAGTCAGAGTTATTATTAATTTATATTAAACCAAGTCTATGAGTTCACAGTTAATTTGGTGCTTTGTGAAATTCATTTCACCTAACACATAATTATATCAAACAGAAATACCACAATGTTTTCACTGTGAGTTTGTTGACTCTAGGTGTGTGTGTGTGTGTGTGTGTGTGTGTGTGTGTGTGGTGCTGGGGATTAGAACCCAGGGCCTTGTGCATGCAAGGCAAGCACTCTACCAACTGAGCTATATCCCCAGCCCCAACTCTAGGTTTATTAACCCCCTACCACAATCTCATACAACATTTCTGCTTTTTTTTCTTTGCATAATGTAAGTAATTGGGAAACTTTATTAAAACCATAAAATTATCAGTTTGCAATGAATTAAGAGTAATGCAGTTATTAAATTCAAGATGAATAAAACAGACAGTAATGCTTACTAACTTTGGTTTGAGTCAGGATTTTATTCAGGCCTCTGATTTTATACACAGTGTTTTTCCTCAGGATTGTTCACTGGCTAGGCAATGCACTTGAGAGCAAGAAGAGATGTCATGTTCAACTGTGTCAGTAAGATGGCAAGGCTCTGGGTCACCACAGAAACATTGTTGCTTTCAACAAAAGCCATACACATACAGCTACTGTAAAATGAAAGCATACAACAGAGACACACAAAACCATGTTTGTACAATGTTGCAATGGTGGCATAGATGTATCAGTTAAGCACCTACTGTCTCATTCCATCTTAATATTTGCTTCTTTTTTCTCTTGTGGCATTGCATATAAAAATATATTAAAATTTATGGCAGAGGAACAAGTCCAGATTCTTGGATATTTTAGTATTAAATGTCTTCACAAGAAATCTATGTCCATCTGAATAGGGATATGTGTGGGCTCTCTCTCATTCAGAGAGGAGATCCACGGAACAGGGTAGAGGAGAGTATGGCTGCAGAGTCGATCATCAAGACCTTTGCAGACCAATCAGGGAGCAGGTCTGATTTTATTGTGCAGTAACCATGTATATATACTCAGGCAGCAGCTAAGCAGATCTCAGCAGCCACCAATGCAATTTCTAGCCAACTGTCCTTGTAGTGACCAGTGGAGGAGCCGGTTGTGGAGCAAGCACAGCGACTGCAACAGAAGGCCAAACGCCCAGGGCTGTGCCTTCCGTTTGCCACTAACCGGCCTAGCTTGGGGGAGTGGCCTGCCACTCAGACGCCCTTAACAGTCGCCACTTATGCAGTACTCTATGCACTTGTCCCCACAGGGATGAACTGTTATGATCAGCTAGTTATCCCCAGGGTACAGATGTGCATGGGTTAACTAGACACGTTTTAAGTTCTTTGGATCCTATATTTAGTCACCTTATATTTAGAGCCTCATTTTTTTTTTTGAGTACACTACCTGGCCCTCAAAAACAATATCCACTTCAACAGGAACATCAGCTCCCAACAGTCGTCAGTAAAGTCCATCTAAAATAATGACTATGTAAGCTAGGTGTGTAGCACAGGTCTGTAATTCCAGCAGCTGGGGAGATTGAGGGAGGAAGAACTGAAGTCCAAGAGCAGCCCTAGCAATTAGCAAGGCCTTAAGCAACTTAGCAAGACCCTGTCTCAAAATAAAAATAAATAAATAAATAAATAAATAGGGCTGGGGATCTGGCTCAGTGCCCCTGGGTTCAATCCTCAGTACCAAAATAAATATATAAATAAATAGGATGTCTATTTAGTGGAAGTACAATCACAATTTCAGTATGAAAGTGTTCTCTAGCAGATGGAAGACGGCAGAGGATCTAGACTGCATGGTGTTCTAAATCAGTGTTACTGGGTCTAATGGGACAATGTCCATCTACCTGTTCAAAATCATAAGTTTACGTGGCATTTCCTGAGCTTTCTAGTAAGAAATCCATGCACAGAGAAGTTATTTGTAAAGAACATAGAACAATTAATTGTTGTGATTTGGAATTAAATCTGCAGTCTGCCTCCAAATTCAGCAATCTTAGTAACTAACAAATTAGTATGTAGCCCTTGGAAATTCCACACTTGTTATTACATTGTAGCCAATTTATTTAAGTATATAAAAAGTAAATTAATGGAATTACTGTTATTATTTATTCATGGGAGCTGTCTTTGATAGGGAACAAACTGAATAGAGAATTTCTTTTCATTTTAAAGTTAAGGGAAGCACATAGTTTTCTAAAATTATTCAAAATGGGCAAAAATTTAGATAAATAAAAATTAACAGAATCTATGCTCCTTTAAAAATGATCATTAATAGCTTTAAGTATATTTCCATCTCTTGATGTTGAAAACAATATGGATTTCTCCATTTTCATTGCCATTCCTTTGCTTCTGAAAGAGCTGAGACTCACCTTCACATTGAGACCGCACCAGGCAGCTGCTGTGGGGAACAGGAATGCACACCTCAGCGAGACCTGAGGCTTCGGAAGACAGAGAAGACGGAATCAAATGCTATGCAAGGGTAGAGTCTGAGGGAGGTTCACGGGTATGCCGTCCGAACCAGCAGAGAGATGCTCCAAGACTCCTTACGTGAACACCTACCCATGTCCATTTGCAGAGGAGAAATTGAGCTGGAAGCACTAAGGAAGGTTTGCAAAAATGCAGTGGTGATCTTCACCTGCCAATCTGCCAGACTGGATTTCCATGATGGAATTTGGATGTGAGCATGCTGAGAAGGAAAGTGGGCATGTGGCTAGCGTCTAAGGAGCGCAGCCTGTGGCTTTCGCGCTGCCCGGTATCTCCCTATCACCCTCCCCAGGGCTCCCTGAACCTCCTTGTTCCTCAGGCTGTAAATGAAAGGATTCAGCATGGGGTTGATAACTGCGTAGAACAGGGAGATGAGCTTGTCCCCCTCCGCCGAGTAAAGGGACTTGGGCCTCAGGTACCTGATCAGCCCCGTCCCGTAGTAAATGGTCACCACAGTCAGGTGGGACGTGCAGGTGGAGAAGGCTCTTTTCCTGCCCTCCGAAGAGTCCACCCTCATCACAGCCAGCAGGATGCGAAGGTAGGAGAGCAGAATGAGGAGGAAGGGTACCATCACGGTTCCAGCGCCCCCTACCGCCATCATGGCTTCCTGCAGCGTCGTGTCTGCACAGAACAGGTGCAGAAGGATGGGCAGCTCACAGAAAATGTAGTCCACCACAAAGGGACCGCAGAGTGGGAGGATGATGCAGGAGAGCGGCACCACCGAAGCGAAAAACCCCAGCGCCCAGGCTCCCAGCGCCAGCGCGACGCACGCGGGCCAGCTCAGGAGCAGCAGGTATCGCAGCGGGTGGCAGATGGCCACGTAGCGGTCCAGAGCCATCACTGCCAGAAGGAAGCACTCCGTGCATTCGAGGAACAGGGTGAGGTAGGTCTGAGCAAGGCAGAAGGCGTAGGAGATGACCTTACTGCTTGTGAGGAAGTTGAAGAGCATCTTGGGCACCACCAGCGTGCTGAAGAAGACGTTCAGCAAAGCCAGGTGACAAAGGAAGAAGTACATGGGCGACTGCAGAGAGACATCGAGGACCACTAAGGTGACAACCGCCGTGTTCCCGAAGCAGCACGTCAGGTAGACCAGAGAGAGCAGGAGGAACAGGGGGAGCTCGGCCTGGGGGTGATTGGAGAAGCCCACAAGCACCAGCTCAGAGACGACGCTGGCGTTGGCCAGTCTCATGGCCGCCACTGACCAATGCCTGTGGCAGGGAGGAGAAAGCAGCATCTGAGGAAGGAACCCTGGGGTCGAGCCAGTCCCCCTGCACTCGGCTCCACTGCCAAAGTCAGTGCTTTTTAAATAGAAGTGGCAACCGTTTGTGAAATCTCCTTGGACAGCAGAACACTCAGAGCACAGCACTCTCACCCCGTGGCCTGCCTTCTGGCAAAGCAGAACTTTACTTAGGTATTTATTTTAATTACATATATGACACAAGGTAGATCTTTAGGTTTCAAGCTGAGAACTTCAGCCACCTCTACTCACTATTTTCCATGTATTCAGTGCACCCCTATATTTTGCTAATCAAATGTTTTAGGTTCAATAAAATAAGGTGACTTGTCCAACATCACACATTGAAAATTTGAAGGCTGAAAATAATTCCATTCTCCTCTAACTACAGTAAAAACAGAAATGATAGAATAATTTTCCCTTATCATGACAAAAGGTTTGTTTTTTCTTCCTGATCCCTAAGGAAAATAAATTATCATCTCATATTTGTGGAACACTACAGCTAATTGGTCTATTTCAACCACCTTAGTGTTAGTAAAAATAATGTAGTTAATTATCTAAACAATGGAGCTTTTGAATTTCTAGGAATTTCTAGTCATGATCTCCGAGTACATAATACTGTCATTTCAAACCCAGGCCTCTTGATTACTCTAAGCAATGTGGGATTGGCTCTACCGGACTGTGTTTCCCAAATGTGCCCACATCCACAGCAATATACTTCCTATAATCTTTAAGAAAATATGAATTTCATGTTCCTGCTTGTGCTGAAACAGAAGCTGTGGACTGGTCACATGAAGTGCAGAATGTCTTCTAAGACACACATACACCAATGTTCACTGCTGCTACCATGCAGCATAGCACCAAAGGGAAACAAACAGAGCTTCTGAGATATTTTTTTTTCCTCCCAGTGCTGGGGATCAAAGCCATAATCTCATTCCTGCTAGGCAAGTGACAAGTACTCTACCACTGAGTACATTCCCAGTCCTGTTCCTGAGATTCTTTTTTTTTTTTTTGTACTGTGGATTTTGAGACAGGGTCTCCGTAAGTTGCTTAGGACCTCACTAAGTTGCTGAGGCTGGCCTTGAACTTGTGATCCTCCTGCCTCAGCCTCCTGAGTTGATGAGATTACAAGTTTGTGTCACTCTGCCCAGCTCTGAGAATATTTTGAATTACAGCAGTGCAGAAATCATAAAACATGGAGCCCAATATTCACATAAACTCAGATGTCACTCTTTTCTCCACTGAGTTCTATTTCTACTATTTTTCTCTTTGTCCTGCTTAAAATCCCCCCCTTTGTCACTTCCCTGTTTGATCCTTTATGAAGGATATTTCTAGATTTTTCCATCTACTCTCTTCTCAGGGTTTTTCCATTTTGCACAGCCTACATCAATCAATGAGCAGGACTACTTGACACCAAGCCACATGGTGGGGGAGGATAAAAGGGAAACAGAAGCCCAGATGAAGCCAGAGAGGGAGAGCTGGAACTGGAGGATGCCTACCCTGAGGGAGGAGCTTGGGGAGAGGAGTCTCCATACTTGCCTGCTTTTAGATGTTAGGCAACATGTTCATTCATAGTTGGTACTGGTACTTTGTAAATGAATTGTCCTGAAAAGGATCAAATTTTCAGATCTTCACCTATTAAAGAGGTGGCATGAGGAGCACAGCTTTGTCAGCCACTGGGGCTCCTCACAGTTAAACTTAGCTAGAAATTGTCTCTTCTTCACAAAGTGCTTCTCAGCACTGTGGAACTCAGGTTGCAAAGAGTGAGAGGACCATTGTAATAATCTGCAAAGCCCATTTCACGTTCTTAGTCAAGCTTAGAAGCTATTCACATCCTCTTATTCCCTTCCTTACTCCCCCCCCCCCGCCAAATTTATATTGCATTCACTGCAAGGAAATGAGAGTGAAGTGAGGGAAAGATGCTTTCTAGGCATCATAAATTGGAATAGAGACTTCAGTGAGTTAAGTGAACTATATTAACAGCCAAAGTTTTAGCTGAATCCCAAAGGGAACCAGTTAACTTCATGTAAAAAATAAAAACTAATTAATTACTGTGCCTCTTACTTTTGATGCAGACAGCTCATTAATGCAACTTTAATTTCCTACTGATGGTGCCAGGTGTTGACTCTGTTACTTCTCTGAGAGGAACACCTTAATTTGGAATTTTAAATTCAAAAAATTTAAAACTAATATGTTAATGACATATTTTAAGACACACAAATTTTCTGAACAGAAAATTTGCAAAATCCTAGGTAAATTCAATTATGTTATAAATATAAGTAATAAAATTAACAAAGAAATGTTATGTTACTTAAGTGTGGATAACTCTTTTGTGGTCAGACATATGCCATTCTCCAAAGCAAGAACACTGGCAAGAGCTAGGGTTGTGGCTCAGCGGGAGAGCGCTTGCCTAGCATGTGTGAGGCACTGGGTTTGATCCTAAGCACCTCATAAAAATGAAATAAAGATATTGTGACTGCCTATAACTAAAATATATATATATATACATATTTTTTTTTTAAAAAAAAGAACACTGGCAAGATAAAGCTCCTGGGTGGGCTTCCATAACAACCCTTTAACAAACTTGAATCACAGGCAGAAAAATTGACTTAATTCTGTATAAATTGATAAAAATAACTGGTTTTTTTTTTTTGTTGTTGTTACTATTGCCCGTTCCCTTTAAAAGTTGAGTTTTTGAGCATCAAATTATCTCCAGAAAAAATTAGAGGGAACAAGGGCAAAGTTCCGATTATATACAAGATGCTCATGAAACTTACATCTGAAGGGGCAAAGACACCTCACCTGTCCATGTGTTCATCCCAACACATTACCATGCAGTGATAAGCACTATGACTTACAGCTGGGTAAAATAAAGAATAGCCAAAGTACTGGCCTTGATCAAAGTCGAGCAAAGACTTCGTAATGTTGCGACAGGTGAGAGGATACCTGGAGAAATGGAGGATGCCGTAGGTGAGGAAGGATTACTGGAGGGCAGAGTGGAGAGTGCACCCCGGCCCCCATCCATGAGCTCGCTCTTCTGGGGCTGGGGCGACGGAAGAAAGAGGTGCAGGGCACACTGGATAGTGGCCAAGCTGAAGCAGCAGGTGGGTGTGTCTCAGATGCTCCTAAGGGACGTGGGGAGTTCAGATTCTGTTTTAAGTGAACCCTCGACCGTGTCCTCTGTGTGTGTGTGTGTGTGTGTGCGGCATGAGTCCTCCATTCCTGAACACCTGAGTGCTTCCTTTTTCTGCGTAATGTCAACTCAGTAAACCACCACACTCAACAGGAGGCAATGTGACTGCAAACTATCACTGTGACCATCTTAGAGAGTGTGCTGTCCCCACACATTGATAATCTATGATGTGCAGTTCTGTAGTGTCCCTGTGACCATCAAAGTGCTTTTTAATCTTTAGTCATTTTAAAGTAATTCATATTCAAACACAATCTCACCATGTGACTGTGAGCTTAGACGATGGGAACACAACACAGCCACCTTCTCCCAGCTGTAGTGACAGATCCTTAACTTGCTCTCTGTGGGGCTGAGGGTCTTGTACTTTGAGGTCCACTCCCAAAGATCTTGTCACTTAGCCTCGTCCCTGGAGGATGTCTGGCCTCAGCCAAGTGTCCTCCAGAGGGTCTTTCGTGGTTTCACTGCATAGGCTGAAGGTGAAGGGATTTGGGAGGGGTGCCATGATCCTGGAGCTTCCTGTCCATGACAGGCTGCTCATCTGAGAGGGGATGACTCAGGCAAAGCTGGGGGTCCCACAGCCACAGAGACCACTGAGCAGAGAGAGGTGCTGCTGCCATGGGCTGCCCTGGGCCTCAGCCCGAGGGCCCCTGCAGAATGGTGGAGATGGTGTGGACCTAGGAACCTCTGTGAATGCCAGGACCTGCTGAGAGGGACAAGGGGCTGAGGAAGCCCAGGGGCTCATGGCACCAGTGTCCACACAAGTCCAGGGGAGGAGTGGCGCTTCCACGGAGAGAGTGATCTGTCAACTTGGACCACAGAGCAGCAGCCCTGCCTTGAGGATGATAAATGGAAGGGTGAGGAGAGAGCCACCCTACCCCAGAGGGGACGAGGAGGTGGGTAGAAGGAACTGGTCTTCTTTGCAGGGTATTGAAAGGGGCTGCAAATGGCCACACAGTGGTCATAGGATGCGACAGCCAAGGGAATAACTCAGAGCTTCCAGAAAGAAAGTAAACAGGACTGGGCGAAGCATCCAGCAAATGAGGCTCTTTTCTGCTGGAAGGAAGCCTGCTAGCCTCACAGAACAGCATGGGCTGCCGCAGTCCGGCTGCCGCAAAATAACCGGGGGGTGACGAACAACTTGTGTAGATTGATACAGCAGGAGTAGGAGCCGTTTATTGCAGGACAGGAGCAGTATTTATACATTCCACACAGCTTATCTAATTAGCATAAACTAGATACAGCAGTGAACCAATCAGGAATCTCCACACTTAATGCCTCGCTTTTGTTACTTCTCAAACCACTCCCTCTGGCATTTTGCCAGGCACCATCCAGACTTGTTTACGAACTCTAACATTGCCCTGGCAAAATGCCAGGTGTTATTTTGACTTTGTTTACAGACTCTAACAATGGGCTGTGGTTAATATTTCACCAAAAGCAAGAAATACTTGGAAGAGAGGAGCCTGCCCAACAATTAGGACAGTGATGTCAAGCACTGCACCAAAAAGGACATTAAAAACATCAAGAAAAGGCTCTGGGCCCTGGTGCTGGCACCTCCGTAAGAGTGCATTTCACAATGCTCAGTGCATTGTCATGATAAAAACACTCAAAAAACTTGGGATAGAAGGAAATTTCCTCAACTTGTAATAAGGAACATGTATGAAAATCCACAGTCAACATATTACTCAATGGTGCAAGACAGAAACCTCTTCCATTACCATCAGGAGCAAGACGTGTGATTGTTTTCACCACAAGCTAAAACTAGAAA